GGGAAAAACTCGTTCCAAGGTTTAGAGGCCTAATGAAATATCAAGGGATTTAAATGCTTTGCTGGAAATTAATGTAAATTACAAACAAGCTTGGCGTGCAAAACAATATGCTATGGAATTGTTGTTGGGATCCTCTGAAGAATGTTTTTCCAAACTTCCTATCTATTTTCACAATTTTAAGAGGCATAATCCCGGTACAGTGGCGTATATACAAACAGATTCTGAAGATTGTTTCAAGTGTTGTTTTTATGCCATTGGGAGCACGGTAAATACAAAAACTTGTTATTTAATATATAATTATTTGTAAAAAATTGTAGAGTGTTTATGTGTTCCATTTTAATATATTGAAGATACGAGCGTTCAAACGTTTTTGTCGTAAAGTTATAATTATGGATGGTGCGCATTTGAAGGGTGATTTTAAGGGAACCATATTGCATGCAGTAGCTATGGATGGGAACAACCAGATAGTGCCCCTTGCGCACGGAATATGCAAAAAAGAGAGTGGTCTTACTTGGACATGGTTTCTTGAAAAGTTGTATGAATGTGTTGGTGATTGTCAAGAATTGACTTTTGTAACTGATCGGGCCGATGCAATTCGGGTTAGTATTGAAAATGTCTTCCCTCAAGCTCATCATGGCGTGTGTGCTTTTCATCTACTAGGAAACATAGTACACAAGTTTGGGAAAAATGACAAAACAAAAGTGTTGTTTTGGAGGCTTGTGAAAGCTTACAAAAGAAATGTTTTTGAAGAATTGTGGTCTAGATTTAGTTCTACTAGGCCGCAAGTAGCGGCGTATCTAAGTGAAATTCCGCGTGCTAAATGGACTAGAGCATATTCCCCGTCGAAACGGTACGATTACATGACCTCCAACAGTGCAGAGTCCATGAACGCTTTATCTGTAGATGCAAGGAAGATGCCTATAATACCCCTTCTTGAGTTCTTCCGTCGTCTTTCTCAGGAATGGTGTAACAAGCGTCGCATCGATGGAGGTATGAAATTAATTTAGACTTTAATTATCTCTAATAATAATTTAATTATATATATATTCTTTACAGGGAAACGTTCAACAGTGCTAACCGAGTGGGCTGAAAAAGTAGTTACTAAAAATGAAGAGCGTACGACAGGATGGTCCGTTTATGGTGTTTCAGATGCAATATATCAAGTGCATGATTTCAAACATGGTGGCATAGTTGATCTGAGGCAAGAGACTTGTACATGCAAATATTGGGAAGGAACTGGGTTGCCTTGTGGTCATGTCATAATGGTCTTAAAGCACTTGAAAAAAACTAACTTCGGACATTTGGCTATAGATGCTTACAAAATGGAAACGTACCGGAGTACGTATGAGGAGCCGGTTTACCCCCTTCCAGAACCGTGTGATTGGGAGATTCCTTCTGAGATGATGGTTGTTAAACCCCCGATAATGGATACACGTCAGGCTGGTAGACCAAGAAATAGAAATCGTATCCCGTCACAAGTGAGGAACCTATAGTAAGAAGGTGTAGTAGATGTGATAGTACAACACATAATGCAGCGACTTGTCCGGCATTGGTCCCAATGAAACCAAAAAAGGCTAGAACAAATAGTGCGCCATCATGTAGTAACACAAAAGGGAAAGGGAAAGGGACACAAATGACGCAAGAGACGGTAGAGACGCACGGGACACAAGAGACGCGCTGGACGAGTGGGACGCAGAGAGAAGACTATTGTTCAACGTTTGATTTGAATGATTGATGGTGTATTTATTATTAATTATGTTTTGTTTTAGAGGATATTAATTTGTGTACTTTGAAATGGTTTGTTTATTTTAAAGATGATTGATAATATTATGATTATCAATTTATGTTTTGTTTTAGAGGATATCAATTTATGTTTTGTTTTAGAATACTAACTAAAAAACGAAGATAATACATTCAACAAACCAGAAACATATATAGCAAACGTACAACAACAGTAATTAACTTAAGGGAATTGCACACGTACAACAACAATAATTAATTAACTTAAGGGAATTGCAAAGGATACTTTTCTTTCTCCATTGTTATGTAGTCGTCCCTAATTCGTATTTTATCTTCCATACGGTCCTGTTGCCTCCCAAGTTCTATCATTTCCGCATCCTTGCCAGCTAGCCATTTTTCAGACAGTTTGATATTCTTCTTAGCTGTTTTTATCCAATCCTCATGATCTTTGATTTCTTGTTTAGTATTCGCCATCCTTTCCTCAACCTCTTTGCACTCCACCGCAATGAGGTCACGACGTTCAGTGAGAGCTCGAGATGACGCTTTATCTTTTTTTGTTGTTCTTCAGCCCATTGTAGTTGTTGCAAAGTATCCTCAGACATATACCCGTCTTTTAAATTTGGTGATGGGGCAAGAAAAGGGTCGATCGGATCACAATAGAAACAATCAACTTCATTGCACGAGCAAATATACAAACTTGAAGATGAACTCATTTGTAAATTTATAAAATATTTATAACTCTATACCAAAAATCCAACGACCATCCATGACTATATATAGTCCCTTCAACTCCACAGAGAGGTGTTTGTAAGTCCGCAGAGTTGTTTGTCTAGTCGTTGTCATCCGCAGAGAGGTGTTTGTCAGTTCGCAATAATGTTTGTCAGTCCGCAGAGTTGTTTGTCTAGTCGTTGTCATCCATACTTTATTTATTTAAAGGTAAACATTTTTTATTAAAAGGTAAATATTTATTATTAAAAACTAAACAACGCCAACAGACCATTACAACTACGGTTAACATACAACTGAATACAAATTAATATAGTTCAACTGAATTGTCGTGGAGGTAAGACGACAACACTTTCAACTGGTATTTCCCAATGCCTGCGGGTTGGAATAGGATTGACCGTCTCAGTTTGATAACCATTTCGATACACCGTGGTGCTTAACTTTAAATTTGCCATTCTATGGATTTCTGCAATTTCAAGCCTTTGTAGTGAAGCTATAGCATGCTCACAAGGTATACCACATTTTTGATTTTTACCGCAACTACAAATACCACGATCTAATTGCACAGATTCGGTTGTTGAATACTTACTCACTTCATATTTGTCGCTAACAATATGCCTAATCCTACAACCATCCGAGTGCATAAATCTTTTATGAATCACCTTAAGTGCATAAGGCGTTAAAAGACCAAGAAAATCGCCTATGAAATGTACTGAATGAATAAACAAAAATTATGATGGCATAACGTATAATAACATATCAATTGACCATTTAAGTTATGTCCTAACTTATAATTACCTCCAAAAGCAGCACGTTGAAGATACACTGCTTGCATCGAGTCATGGACCATTTCAATGATTGTTGTTATTGGAAACTCATGCATGTTTCTTCTAAACCAATTGACAACGTCGGGAATGTCAATGAATTTAATATTGAAACGTACTCTAGGAAAAAAAGCCCGTACCCATTTTGCAATGGGAATATTGTCAAGCCAATGAAGATGATTCCCATTAACCTAATTTTGTAAGTTGTTCAAACATGCATAAAAATCAGACATATTATACGCTTTACAAGTCTTCCAGAACAACTGCTCTACCACTGTATTCCACGCGGTGGAAGCGCGTATTTTCTCGGCTATATTTTTACAACAATAGCCATGATATGAATTAGGGTAGACTCTTTGAACTGCAAAGTCTATGGAATCAGACATATGGCTTATGAAACCAACTTCTGTATTGTCACCTAAACATTCTTTAAGCCTCCTCATGAACCATAACCATGAATCGTCACAGTTTATGGTTCCCAAAGCAAACGCTATGAGAAGGGGTTGATGATTTCCATCTAAAGCAACCGCAATGTACATGGATGTTACGTACGTCCCAATTAGAGGTACATGATCAACAAATATGATTGGTATCATAGACGTGACAAACGTACGAATCTGCAAGTGAAGATAAGAATATTAGGTATATAACAACCTAAGGTAATTAAATGATTTATTATAACGGATTACATACCACACATCCCAATGGCACAAAACAAATTTTGAAACGATTGTACTGATCTTTCGTAATGTACGTGAAGGTGTTTGGATTGGTTCTTTGCAGATTATGGAAAAAACTCGGTAGAGAAACTGACTTGTCAGTCCGCGTAGAGAAACTTTTTATACACAGTAAACCTTGTCAGTCCGCGTTACCAGTCTGCGTTACTGAACTGTCAGTCCGCGTAGAGAAACTTTATATATATATATATATATATATATATATATTATATATATATATATATATATATATATATATATATATTAAACGTAGTATCTATACGAAATTCAAATCTTTAATTGATAATAGAGATCAATTTACAAAATGGCGTCCAATGTACCAAGTTCATTGAATGCAACAAATCCATCTAATGCAGCCTCTCCAACAAATGGTACATCTCCATGGACGACAACAGAGTTGTTGGTCCTAACACAATGCTGGATTACCATTTACGAGGGTCTACCAGTAGTGGCTCCCCCTCATTGCCTTGTAGGTGATGAATGGTCCCGCCTAATAGCTTTGTTCAACTATCAGGTCGGACAAGGACAAGAACGACTAAAACCTGATATTGTTAGTAAATGGATTGATTTAAAGTTTAAAGTCACATGGTTCAATCGATGCTACAATCATGAGAAAATGCGACGCTCTCAAGCAGATGATGAAGAACTTCTTCAAGACGTGAATGGATATTACTTGTGCGAGTTTGATGGAACTGATTTCGAGTATACGGACGTTTGGAATCTGGTAAAAGATAAACCTTTTTTCATGTAGACGACTGTTTTATTTCCCATGTTTTATGTAATGTTTGTTAGTCGTAAGAAACCTTTTGCATGTAGACGACTCTTTTGTAATGTTTTTATGTTATTTGTAATGTTTATTGTGTTTGATTGTATGGTTTCGTAACATTTGTTGCTGAATTACATACTAGAAACAAGTATTTAATATTATTATATATATATACAAAGTTCCTAATATCAACTTATATAGTTAGGCCTATATAGTATCCCAAATAACATTTGCCATCTTATTTCTGTAGAGAAATCCCGCATCTCTACGTGCCGTAGAAATCTTCACTGGTACCCCCGAAACAATCATTTCCATAAACATGCATACAAATACTCCACAATCCCCTTTGTCAAGACTATATTCTTGTTGTGGCACATCTACAACATCAACAAACTCCAGCTTTGCTTTGTCTTTGTGTCCAACGGGGAAATGGTTCCAGTACTCAATGACATCTAACTCTGAGATAATACTATCTCCAAAACTTGTGAATTCTCCACCAGTTAAGTACTTTGAGAAGTAACCCGCAATTCGTGCTGAATCATAAATTTCTACTTTCCAGGTATCTAAATGTAGCACCGCCATAAACCAATGGGCACTAATAACATTTATTACGAATAGAACCTGCAAAAAATAATATAAATTAAATACTCGTAATTTCAGTAATATTATATTTATAAAATAATAATTATTAAAGTTAACTAACCATATCCACATCCTTCCATTTAGGACAACCTCCAAAACCATTTGCTACATTCCTTAAAAATAATGATTTTCCGGGTTCCAAATTGATTTCTTGTGGAAATATCGTCCACCTAGCGTTCGCCGGCCGCCTTTCCATCAACAAGGAACTCCATATCGCAATATGCTGTACATTTTAAGATAAAAATGTTAGAATTATTTATATAAATTCTAGTCTAAAAAAATAGTTAAAATTTTAATTAAAGGAATGTTACCGAAGAAAGTAACCACCCTTTTTCAGTAACAGAAAGTAACCTCGACCAAAAATCCATATCTAGTGGGAGAATATGCAGCCTATGTTTAGTGATGAGTTTGGAAGAGAGCACACTCCATTCTTTCCAAAAACTCATCGGACTATTACTATAAATACTGTCCAACAAGAGATGGTTTGAAACGTCACTACTCTCTGCATTGACAATGTCCTCATTTGTTTTTTTTAGGACTCTCCTCTATTTTTTTCTTTCTTGTCTTGCTGATTTTCTTCAATTTTGCTGTCGATTGCATCTAAAAAATCAACATGTCAAAAATGTAATATTTTAGAAATATACCAAATTTAAAATATGAGTTTTTTACCACTGTGAACGGAGTCCGCTGATACCATGCAACAGCCCTCTTTCGTTGCGGCCTACCAATAGGAGTCACTATTTTTGTGTCATGTTCAGTCACGTCTTGTGACGGCTCACCATGTGTAGGTGTAGGTGCAACTTTCTCCTCCAAACCACCATAGTCGAACTGTGTATCATGGTAATATGGTTCTTCATCCTCTTTATTTATCATCTCCTCCTCCTCCTCCTCCTCCTCTACAAACCGTTTGTTTGGCTCATCTTTTTAATGTAATACACGATGTACTTTAGATGATAACTCAGCCACAACACCTAGTAGACGCTTCACTAATGCCTTTGTGCTACTCTTCTTCTTCTTTACGACCCTCGTTGATGTGTCGCTTGACGTATAAGTTGTTTCTATTTCAGGATGTTGCGAGGAAGAAGCATTTGTGGCAGATTCAGTCGAACATGTATCCGACTTGTACATAGTTCTTCGAGGAGGCGAGGCAACAACAGGTGGACTATTTCGGACCGGACTATGTGTCGGTGGAGGAGACTCTTCATGGTTAAGAGTCCAATTGACATTGCGAACATAAAACGGCAACATCAGCTCCGTCCCATCTGCCACGACTGGAATAGGTACGTTGTTAGGCTACAAAAATTAAAATCAAATTGTTAGTTTAAAATGAAAATACGTTGGAATTTGTAAGTATAAATAATCCTTAATATAAAAAGCATACCACAAGCACGTTGATTATTCGACGACAGTTATCCCAAGATAACGGTGTTTTACTTCTCCACGACCTCATCCGCAGCAATTATGTCGGGATGCGTACATAAAATTTGGTTGCCTCGGGGAACGTCTCCAAAATCCAGATCTATAGAAAGAAAATTTAAGTATCATGCTATTATATTTTATAGTACAAATCGAAGTTCAATGTTATTATCGTATAAAAACAAAACAATGATAAGTAATTAAATTTATTAGAAAATAACCTTAAACGGCAGCATAAAACCAGGAACGATATACTTGTGTATTTTCTTGGATTCGGGATTGGCCTCCTTGAATTGTCTAAATTCTACTATTTTCTTAAACATTCCATGCATCATCCGCGAAGTATACCTCCAAAAATACGTACCCCATGCAAACCTGCAATTTTCATATTGTATATTATAGTTATTATTATTGTATTCTATTTTTACACAATATTTAAATGTAATACATGTTCCAATCATCTCTATTATCAGCAAGCTTGTATATTGAAGCGGGAATGCACGTTTTAACGTCCCGTCCGTGGAGTCCCTTCAACACAAAAACAAGCTGGATAAGCATCACAGCATCTTCATCTTGAACTGCCAAATATTTTGGAGACATAATGAAGTCTTCCAAATCTTTCAACCGCATACGCGCATCAGAAATGTCTGGGAACAACCGAGCACGAAGACTTGAATTTGACCGGCCTTTTTCATCGTGGAGTAAATCCACATAAGGACCAACTTTTAAACCACAAATGAGAATATATTCCGTTTCACCAAAATCCAAATGCATCCCTTGTATATAAAAAAAAACCTCCCCATTTCAAATACTTCTTGAGACCTTACTTCGTGCAACATCATCAAATGCACAAGTAACGGATCACCATGTGGGATATGCATTCCTAAGAATATTCCAAACGGCGAAGCTTCGAATAATTGTCGTTGTGATTGTGTTAGCCGCAGAAAATAATCTTTAATGATAGTACCCACCACACCTTTTAAAGTTAAATCCGCTTTTTGATTGAGATCTAAATGCTGCAAAACATAAGATTTAATTTAATATAAAAGGACATGAAAAAAAATTAGGAAATTATGTTTAAGGTCATTCCGCGGAGGCTTTAGGTCATTCCGCGGAGAAGGCTCTGCGGATAGACCAACACCTCCGCGGATAGACCAAATCCGATTTTTTAAACAGCATACTTCACTCCGCGGAGGGTGCTCTGCGGACTGATATAACCCTCCGCGGAGAGACATACACCTCCGCGGAATGGATCATCACCATTCCGGAACCCACCTGTCGAACTCCATTTTTTGCTATCCACTTAATATAATCGGTTTTCAACAAATTTCATACATATACAACATTAATCCAAAGAAAGGAATGTTAGAAATACCCGGGATCCTAAACCGTCGCTCAAAATATTGGGGAGATTGTCCTCCATTACTGCCGGAATGACGTCGTAATCGAAGTCCTGGTCGCCGGTTTGGACGTCGGAAAATGACGTCGTTTGCTATCGTGGTCGCCGGAATCTTCGGTGTCGCCGGAATCTTTGGTGGTAAGTCAATGCGGAGAACCGTCTTTGTCAAAGAGGAATCGGGGGACCAGTGGGGGGACCAAAGAGGAGGGTCCGATTTTGTCAAAAAGAAGACGGGCAAATGACAAAAATACCCCTCTCCGCAGAGGTAATATCGATCCGCGGAGGTCCGCAGAGGGCCCTCCGCGGAATGCGTGTCTATAAGTGGAAAAGTCATTTTTTATGACTAAATTTTGAAATTGGCCCCCTTTTTTTGTCTATTAGCGGTATTTTCCCAAAGTTTTTGTATGTCACACTATTTTGTTCTCAAAAGTCACCACAACCATTGGAATCAGGTACACTCTCTGTCTGTCTCTTTTCTTTATTTAGTCTTTTCTCTTGACCACTACTCCTTTTATCTCCCACCACTCCCTCCATCTACTTCTTTAGCGAAACAATCATCGTTGGTGTTTACCTATATCATATCGTAAAAAATCCCTAACTCACTCTGATAAGACACAAGACCACATTGAATGGCCACTTAGAACCAAACCAAACTAAAATCCCCTCCTTAAACTAAAGTAACACAAAATATATGAAAATAGAACCCTGTTTTAGTAAACCCCAAAATATTAGCTCATGTTATATGAATTGATTTTTATATGTACAATTTTGCAGGTTTTAGGGTGAAAAAGGAATATATTTTCAAGCTAAAAACAAACATTTATGAGGATTTACCTGGTTTCAATTAAGTATATAGCCTTTGTTGTTGCAGGTGATGTGTAAAATCCATTCTTAAATTTATAAAAGGTTTTACCAAAATTGGGGAGTATTACACAACTATGTACCAAATCGTATGACAACATAGCTTTGGTAAGACCGGATTGCCGAAATCTAGGAGAACGGGTATGATTCAGTTTCGAAAATTTGATTATCAGTACTAAAGACAAAAAAAAAGTAAAAAGGGGAATTTAATTAACAAAGAAACATAAAGAAAATAAAAGCTAAAGAAAAATGATTCAGAAATAGATAAATATATATATTTTTTTACTTAGATTCGATTACACCCTTCATATATGGTTAACTTCTATTTATGTAATTGATATTAATCATCATCTAACAATTCCTAATTTGGTTAAGCTTCTTGGTTCGATTATAACCCTAATGATTCTAAGGAACTTTAATGGCAATGGTTATGTAATTAACTATCCCGATTATCAGTCTTTAGTTTGTATTATACAAGATTTGATCTTTATTGATCTCAATGGTCATGAAAATTAATTAATACACAAAATGGTCATCTATACCAATTAGTCATAATTGTCAATGGTCATGATCAACTATGATTCAAGTAAACACAATAAGATTGATCCTTTAGAATATATTTACTCGGCAATAAGCTATAAAGATAGAAAACTTTAACACATATAGATCTTTCATCAAACAAACACAATGAATTAAATAACTAATAATATCCACGTAGAATTCAAACCATAAATGTAAGAGTTCATCTACATCTAAACAAAAATAAAAAGGTTTTTTTAGCCTAAAATCATAAACGAGAACAAAAAGAATTCATAATAGTGTGCTAAATATAGATAGTAAAGCAAACCAAATGAATCCATAATGATTTTGCTCTCGATCCTTAAGATTCCTGCTCCTAGTTACCCATCCGGCCTTCAAATTGCCTTTAGTTCTCTCAAAATGACACCTATGATTGTATTTTTAGTGTATAATATGAGATATCCCCTTCGGTTAAAGGGAAAATGAAATTTATAAATTTTCTAAACCGACAGTAAACATGATGTGTAATGTTGTTGGTCGCATCGTGTTCTCCAATACTTCTGCAAGAATCTTCAAGATTCGACGTATACCACAAATTAATGTGATCAACGCGCCGCATATGGAATATGCACATTGCACATAGCTGCTTGATTTGCTTTGTTAGTTTCTATCATTCATTCTCAGTTTCGAGCTCCATTTTTCTTCCTTTATGCTCAACGAAATTACCTATCTGCAAAATAATAATCTCAAGCATTATAAGTATCTTATATTTTCAAATGCATCAAAATACAGCTTAAATCATTAAGATATTGCATAAAATATATGTATAAAATAAGTGATATCAGCACATATTATACATGTTAGGTGACTTCGCATCATGCCCTGCTTTTTGGTCTATTAAATGGTAAAAATTAGTACGAAAGTGTAGTGGCAAGTATTAGTCCCTTGGCTTCATTCATCACCCTCAAAGACTTGATAATATGGAAATGGTTCTAAAATCTGTTCTATTAATTGGTAATTTACCATTTTAAATTCATGATTAAACTAATCATATATATTCGTATCTATGGCATCATGTAATTGGAATCTTTGATAGCTTAATCAATAATTGTGATCATTACTGTTTAGTGTAGGAGATTTCATATTGGTATAACAAAATTATCCTCTTTTTTTAGCAAGCTACGAAACTCAATTTGTGAGAAAGACTTCGTTAAGGAGCAAGATCCTCTCATTCGATGACATTTTCCAATACAAACTTTGAAAAAAAGAGCATGTTGAGCTAAGAGAAAAAAGAATATATGAGATGTCATTAAGATATGAATGAGAAAGTGAGATTTGATTAATTATTTTTGATCATCATATGAGAGAGAGAGTGAGAGAGATAATTATTTTTTTAAGAAAAAATATATCTTTTTCTAAAAATCCATGTAGAGGTCATGTTAGCACCACGTGAATAAATATGGGATCAGAATTGCATAGGTAGCATGACATGTAAGCTTCTAACCTATTATATCTACTATAGCTAGCTACAATGCAAAAAAAAAATGTAGGTGCTTAATTATCACGTATGAAACTTAGATGACTAAATAGTAAGAATTTTATAAATTGGACTATGAATTAAGTAAAAAGTCATAATATTACCTCTTACTCGGTCCAGTAACGTTGTTTGATTTCAACATGTTTAGCCTCTTAGCCGATTGGCTAACCTCTTACCGAGTCCGACAAAATAATACACCGACTGATAAATTTGGAATACATTCCCACTTTTAACCCTTGGCTTCTTCTGCTTCCATTGCTTCCTGCCTTTCTCCTATAGTGCTACCCCTCCAACTCCTTTATGATTCCCGTGTCGATCTCATCCAAAGAGAAATCTCCAACCGGTAACCTTCTTTTCTCCCTTTGTGAAATCGTTTTTCTCATCTGAAATTGAAAT